GGCAGACGTCAGACAGTTTGTATTGGAGAGAGAACCCGCATCTGCCAAAGCTGCAGCAGACCTGGCAGACACCTATGTCCATACGCGGGTGTTGACCATCGCAAGGCTCCTCCGAATGGCTGGAAAGGAGGCAAATTCCCCATAGCAACCCCTCCTATGCTGGTGAGTCAAGCTTCCCATCACCCAACACCTGCAATACTTGGGGCCAAGCCATTCCTGACTGACAACCACAGATGTTACACCTGTGGGAAACCCGAACATCTCAGGACGCAGTGACCTGAGCAGAAGAAGATGACATCACCGGGCCAACCGGCCCACAACTCTTCCTCCAGGCTGTTTGTCAGTGGTAAACCTCGGGGAACCAGCACCGACCTACAGTCAGTCATAGTCGGCAACAGGACCGTAACTGGTTTCCGTGACACCGGAGCCAAAGTCACCTTAGTCCGATCAGACGTGATAGAGGAAAAGGACATCATCCCAGAGAAGTTCCTTACCCTCACTGGAGTGGGGGGAACCCGTTCCCGCATACCCCATGCCTATGTGTTCATTGATTGGGGTGCAGGAAGGGGGATGAGGGAGGTGGGAGTCTCGGATGAAATCCCCACAGCAGTCCTATTGGGTGCTGATCTAGGCACTCTTATCTCCTACTATGCACCTGCTAAGAACACCCTGGATGCCCCCCAGAACTCTCTGGACCCTGGTCCCCTGGGCGGACTGACCATTTGGAAACTCGGGCACTGCCCGAGGGCCCGGGGTCAGTAGGGGGCCCCCTGAGATGCCCCTGATACCTTTTTTAAAGGCTTTTTTGAGTTTGGGCAAGGACACAGGGGCCCATACCAAGGTACTGTTCGCAGATGTTGGGGTAATATCTGGGCAACCTCTGGATGGACAGAGGGAGGAGGCTGGGAGTGGAGTGGGGTTGCAGAGTTCTCCATTACCTGGAGAAGGAAAGGAGATCCCCTTGCAGGGGAAGGTAATGAACTCCTGTGTCACTAATGTTACAAATGTACAATGATGATGATACTAATGAAGCATTACCAATAATAGTGGTCACCCGCAGTGCTGCAAGGGCGGCTGAGGCACAGGCTCTGGTCTCAGAACAGCAGGAGGATGTCTCTGACCCCTCCCCTTGTTCTGACCCAGTGGACTCTGCCTCCATTGAGTCTCAGCAGCTGTCATTGTTTGCTACAGGACCACTGGCTGGGACTTGTAGTTCCACGTTCGAAGCAGCACTGCAGACAGACCAGACCCTAGAGCAGCTCAGAAGTCTGGCTAATCGCCCCCCTGCAGAGAATGACAAAGGGTTTACTGGGACCAAAGAAGGCTGTCTAGGGAGGGCTTGCCCACTGAGGGGAGTGGGGCTGACATTGGTAGGAGACAGCTTGTTGTGCCTAATCAATTTAGAGGACAGCTGCTGAAATGTCTCATGAAATTCCCTTAGCAGGGCACCTGGGGATCACTAAGACCAGGGCGCGATTAGTTCACAACTTTTACTGGCTTACCATGCTCACTGACATAGCTGATTACTGTCTGTCCTGTGTTACCTGCCAGCGAGTTGGCAAGGCAGGAGATGTACACAGGGCCCCATTACAACCTCTGCCTGTGATTGACAAACCTTTTAAGAGGGTGGCAGTGGATATCTTTGGGACTAGCAGCTCAGGCAAACGTTATGTCCTGACAGTGGTTGACTATGCCACCCGGTATCCCAAAGCTGTGGCTCTCTCCTCCCTCCGGGCGGACAAGGTTGCGGATGCTCTGCTGGGGATTTTCACTAGAGTGGGATTTCCGGCCGAGCTCATTAGCGATCAAGGGCCCCAGTTTGTGTCGGACCTGATGCAAGCTCTCTGTCAGAAGATACAGATGACACATATCATGGCCAGTCCTTATCACACACAAACAAATGGCTTGTGCGAGCGTTTCAATGGCACCTTGAAACAAATGTTGCGCACCTTTGTGGAATCCCAGGGAAAGGACTGAGAATGATATCTGCCTCATCTGCTATCTGCTTACAGAGAGGTGCCTCAGGAGTCCACAGGTTTTTCACCCTTTGAACTTCTGTACAGGCAGAGCATGAGAGGGCCTCTGGACCTAATCCGTGAGACCTGGGAGGGCAAAATTGTTGACCTAGAGGTCTCTGTGGTGGATTATGTGTTAAAATTCAGGGATAAAATGGAGACGGTGGTGGGGATGGTACAGGAAAATTTGGACCAGACCAGGCAGAAGCGTTGGTATGAAAGTAATGCCAGGAAGCGGAAATACAACATTGATCAGCAGATCAATGTTGTAGACCTAGACCTGCTAGCTGACATCAGGGAAGTGGATTCAGCCCTCCCGATCAACCCCCACTCAGGTACCTGGGCTGGAGAGAGTGCTGGCAGTATATGGGGGCAGGTTTACTGGGAAGCCTGGAAGAACACACCTAGCTGTCCACAAAGTGGACACAGGGGCCCATCCCTCTATTAAACAATCAGCCTATCGCGTCTCTTTGGAGGTGCTGGCTGATATGAAAAAGGAGGTTGAGGAAATTCTGCAGCTGGGGGTGATTCAGAAGTCCCACAGTGCCTGGGCATCCCCTGTCGTCCTGTCGTCCTGGTCCCCAAAAAGGATCAGATGACCATGTTCTGTGTGGACTACAGGAAGTTGAAAGCCATTACCACTGCAGATGCCTACCCCATGCCCCGGATTGATGAATTGTTGGATAGGATGGCGGCTGCCCGCTATATCACAATCATGGATCTGAGCAGGGGTACTGGCAAATTCCTCTGGCGCCTGAGGCTCGGGAAAAGTCTGCCTTCTTCACCCCATTTGGCTTGTTCGAATTCACTGTCATGCCATTTGGGATTAAGAATGCCCCAGCTACCTTCCAGAGAGTCATGAATGATTTGCTGGAGGGGCTGGAACCCTTTGCGGTAGCCTACCTGGATGACATCGCCATGTTCAGCCCCACCTGGGAAGAACATCTGGTGCATCTGTCACAGGTTCTGGACAAACTGACAGCCGCCAATCTGACCGTCAAGCCCAGCAAGTGTCAGATAGGCATGACGGATGTCCAGTATTTGGGACACCAGATAGGAGGAGGAACCCTGAGGCCCGAGATGGGGAAGGTGGAGGCCATCCTGGCCTGGCCTACCCCGCAAACCAAGAAACAGGTCATGTCATTCCTGGGGACAGCCGGTTACTATATGAAGTTTGTATGTAACTATAGTAGCCTGGCAAAAACTTTACTGACCAAACCAAAAAGAAACTACCCAAGGTGGTGTCTTGGACACCCAATTGTGAGAAGGCATTTTAGGCCTTGAAGGAGGTGCTGGCCAGCGCCCCTGTGCTACAGGCTCCAGACTTCACCCGCCGTTTCCTAGTGCAGACAGATGCCTCTGCATATGGATTGGGTGCAGTCCTGAGCCAGGTGGATGGTGCAGGAGAGGAACATTCCATCCTCTGCCTGAGCCGGAAGCTGCTTCCCAGGGAGGTAGCATACGCCACGATCGAAAAGGAGTGTCTTGCGATCGTGTGGGCTCTCCAGAAGTTGTAAATGTACCTTTATGGGCAGCACTTCACAGTGATCACCGATCAAAATCCTATGAGCTGGTTAAATGTTGTGTTGCTGGGGAGAATGGCAAACTACTTCGGTGGAGCCTAATTCTTCAGCAATACGATTTCACCATACAGCATAAGAAGGGCAGCACCCATGGCAATGCTGATGGGTTATCGAGAAAGGTTGAGCCAGCAGAAGTCGGTTGCGTCAGGAGGGAAATTGCAGTTCCCTCCCATGCAAGCACCTGAGAGGGGAGGTGTGATAATTGTGCGCACAGATATGGACAATGACGACCACAATTTGGATCATACTCTGCAAATGTCATTCTCACTCCAAATCATTCTCTCCCCCTCCTTTTCTTTGAATGGAATGTGGTCTGTGTGTGTGCTGAGTTCAGAAGTACACAGGGCACAGCTTCTTGGTTATAAACCCAATTAGCTGGTTCCATGATGTCTGACAGACCTTTGCCTTGGCCTGGTCGTAAAGCTATAAACCAGTCAGTCACTGGACATTAAAGCATTCCAGAGTGGCAGTAAAACATACATCCCACTTGAAACCACTTTTTCATACAATATCATAAATCCCGGCAGGAACAAGATACAATAAAACAAAGCATATATTCAGAGAGGTCAGTTTAATACGAGTCACCTGATACCTTACACCCCTAGATAACATCTACCGGAGAGCAGAAAGCGATATCTCTTTACCTGTCACAGCCAGATATGTCATATTTAATGTCTGGATGTTCAGAATATGGTTCTGCATATTAACCTGCCAGTGGCTAGGCTGCTGCATGCACCTATGGGAGGTTATTGACCATGGTATAAATGTGAGAGGGATTTGGTCATAGCCAGGGTCCCCGCCTAAACACCACCGCTCCCCAAATGAGGCGATTGGTTCTCTGCTTTAAGGAGACACCCTGCTGGGTTTCTAGAAAACAGGCTGTCATGCCTGTAGAGAGAGATGAAGAGATTCTTCCTTTTAACATCAGGAACCAACTTTGTGAAAAGGCACCCTTTTGTTCGGACACTTGAACGCTGCTTAAACCAGGATTTCTGCAAGTATTCTACCTTCTTAAACTTCTTTCTTTAGCTCTCTGTTGTGTTATTGCTCTATTTATATATATATATATATATATACCGTATTTTTTGCTCCATAAGATGCACTTTTTTCTCCCAAAAAAGAGGGGGGAAATGTCAGTGCGTCTTATGGAGCGAATATAAAGCGGCCGGTCCAGTATTTCTGCAGCCAACATGTCAGAATACCGTGCTGGCCGCTCAGCTGTTCTCTGATGCAGGACCTTACCTGTTCCTCGGTCCAGCGCTGCACAGTCTTCCCGCGCCGGCATCTGTGACAGTCGGGTGCCAACTGCGCATGCACGAGAAGCGCTGCACTTTGTGAATGGTCCGGCGTCTTCTGGGACACATGACAGGTCCCAGAAGATGCCAGGCCATTCACAAAGTGCAGCGCTTCTCGCGCATGTGCAGTGGGTACCTGGCTGTCACAGCCAGGTGCCCACAGTAAAGGGAGGACAAAGTGGTAGCGGGTACCTGTCAAATTCAGGTACCAGCTCCCCCTCCCTCCCTAAAGGTCTGCAGTCTCTGGTCATACCCTATACTGTCTGCAGTCTCTGGTCATCTCCTGTACTGTCTGCAGTCTCTGATCATTGCCTGTACTATGTCCGCAGTCTCTGGTCATCTCCTGTACTGTGTCCACAGTCTCCGGTCATCCCCTGTACTGTGTCTGCAGTCTCTGGTCATCCCCTGTACTGTGTCCGCAGGCTCTGGTCATCCCCTGTACCTTCGTCCGCAGGTTCTGGTCATCTCCTGTACTACGTCCGCAGGTTCTGGTCAAATCCTGTACTGTGTCCGCAGTCTCTGGTCATCCCCCTGTACTGTGTCCGCAGTCTCTGGTCATCCCCTGTACTGTGTCCGCAGTCTCTGGTCATCCCCTGTACTGTGTCCGCAGTCTCTGGTCATCCCCTGTACTGTGTCCGCAGGCTCTGGTCATCTCCTGTACTACATCTACAGTCTCTGGTCATCTCCTGTACTACGTCCGCAGTCTCTGGTCATCTCCTGTGCTGTGTCCGGAGTCTCTGGTCATCTCCTGTACTGTGTCCTCAGTCTCTGGTCATCTCCTGTACCGTGTCCGCAGTCTCTGGTCATTTCCTGTACCATGTCCGCAGTCACTGGTCATTTCCTGTACTACAGTTGTGGCCAAAATTATTCAACCCCCACTGAAATTGAGTGTTTTGGCCAGTTTGACATTGCTTTTGATCATTCAGTCATCTTGCTTACATTTACATTAAAGAGGCACTTGTAGGTCAGACAAATATAACATAACAGTTATAATGAAATAACCACAAATGTCTTTTCTGTGCTCACAGCATTATCAGTTTTATTCAACCCCCAAGTGACATTCAATCTTAGTACTTAGTACAGCATCCTTTTACAGTTATAACAGCTTTTAAACGTGAAGCATAGCTTGACACAAGTGTCTTGCAGCGATCTACGGGTATCTTCGCCCATTCTTCATGGGCAAAGGCCTCCAGTTCAGTCACATTCTTAGGCTTGCGCACTGCAACTGCTTTCTTTAAGTCCCACCAGAGGTTCTCAATCGGATTTAAGTCTGGTGACTGCGATGGCCACTCCAAAATGTTCCAGCCTTTCCTCTGCAACCATGCTCTAGTGGACTTGGAGGTATGCTTGGGATCATTGTCCTGTTGAAAGGTCCAACGTCTCCCAAGCCTCAGGTGTGTGACGGACTGCATCACGTTTCCATCCAATATCTCCTGGTACTGAAGAGAATTCATGGTACCTTGCACACGCTGAAGCTTCCCTGTACCTGCAGAAGCAAAACAGCCCCAAAGCATGATTGACCCTCCACCATGCTTCACAGTAGGCAAGGTGTTCTTTTCATCATAGGCCTTGTTCTTCCTCCTCCAAACATAGCGTTGATCCATGGGCCCAAACAGTTCTAATTTTGTTTCATCAGTCCACAGAACACTATCCCACAACTTTTGTGGTTTGTCCACATGGCTTTTGGCATACTGCAGTCGACTCTTCTTATTCTTTGGAGACAGCAAGGGGGTACGCCTGGGAGTTCTGGCACGGAGGCCTTCATTACGCAGTGTGCGTCTTATTGTCTGGGCTGAAACTTCTGTACCCACATCTGACAAATCTTTTCTCAGTTCCTCAGCAGTCACACGGGGACTTCTCTCCACTCTACGCTTCAGGTAGCGCACAGCAGTCGAAGTCAGCATCTTCTTTCTGCCACGACCAGGTAGCGTTTCAACAGTGCCCTTTGCCTTGAATTTGCGAATGATGCTTCCTAAGGTGTCTCTTGGTATGTTTAACATCTTTGCAATCTTCTTATAGCCATTGCCCTTCCTGTGAAGAGAAATCACCTCTTCTCTTGTCTTCCTGGACCATTCTCTTGCCTTCACCATGTTTGTAACCACACCAGTAAATGTCTAGAAGGAGCTGAGTATCACAGTCATTTTAAAGCTGCCTAATTGGTGCTTATTATGCTTGATTGCTGCTCGGTGACATCCACAGGTGTTTTCAATACCTGATGGAAAGCACCTGTATGAACCTCTGTTCTTCAGAGTGGTAGTCTTTAAGGGGTTGAATAATTGTGGCAATGAAGAAACCACATAAGAACCATTTACTACTGTATTACATAAACAATTGATGTCATTTTAGTTGCATTTGGGTAGTTACAACGTCCTTGTAGGATTTGATTCTGAATACAATTCCAAATGTACACTATAGTCCCTAAACCCCTTTACAGCATTGGGGGTTGAATAATTTTGGCCACAACTGTATGTCAGCAGTCCATTGGTTCAGAATATTTTTTTTTCTTGTTTTTGTCCTTTTTCTCCTGGTCAGGTGCGTCTTATGGAGCAAAAAATACGGTATATTGGTTACGTTTTTTCTGTAAATATTTTTATTGCACCATTTTGACCTTTTTAGTAATTAATCCTATTTTCTGAAGTGTTGAATTGTTTCTAAAGCTCTTTAATGCAAACTAAGAATCCCTGTCTCTGAAGACTGCTACTGTGTTTTTTAAAACCTCTGGATACATCTGTCTGCAGTGACAGTGTGTATACAGATGCTTATTCAAACATCATAGTGTTACTGCTAAGATTTGTGAGTTTCCTCCTTCTCTGTAAAAAGGTGGTGGTGGCAGTGTGAAGGGTTAATTGCGTAATTAACCTGACCCAGTAACAATCGCTCTCAGGCTGTTGGCACCTAGATTGGGGTCAAGTGAGCTGGAAAATCTTTGTGCATGCAGCTGAGTGGCATTGTTACGCAAGTGGCAGCGTGGTTTTAGATTGGCTAGTCCTTCAGTCACAAGTTGGTGAGAAGGACCGGGGTCTGACGCCGAGCCCATCACATTGACCGTTGTTGACCCGGTATCCGGAGGCTGTAGCACTGAAAGATGTGCAGGCAGAAACAGTTGCTCAAGCTCTGCTGCAGATCTTTACTCGGGTAGGATTTCCTCGGGAGGTCCTGACCGACAAAAGGGCCGCAGTTCATGGCTGAGCTTACCCAACAACTTTGGAAGTTGTGTGGGATCAGACCGCTGTACAGCTCTCCCTACCACCCCCAGACCAATTGGCTCTGCAAACGGTTTAATGGTACGCTGAAACAGCTCCTCCGAGTGTTCACCATGTCCCATAAGGACTGGGAGCGGCATCTCCCCCACCTCCTGTACCCCTACCGAGAGGTACCGCAGGAGTCTACTGGGTTCTCTCCCTCCAAGCTGCTGTACGCCAGAGGGTTCGGGGATCCCTGGATCTCCTACGCAAACACTGGGAGGGAGCAGTGGCCGAGGAGGGGACTTCGGTGGTGGCCTATGTGCTGGACCTCAGGGGGAGGCTACAACGGTTGACGACCCTAGTACAGAACAACCTTGAGGCTGCCCTGAGCTGAAAAACGGTGGTACAACCGATCTGCACGAGACCAAACATTTCACTTAGGACAGAAAGTGTTGGCCTTGAAACCAGTCAGGCATGACATATTACAGGCTGCCTGGCAGGACCCATACCAAGTGGTGGAGCAACTCTGTGATACCACGTACATTGTAGCTCACTGTTCGGATGGAAGGATCCGGCGTACCTTCCATGTGAATATGCTGAAACCGTTCATCGAACGACAGGAGAAGAGTATAGCTGCTATTTGTGCTCTGGCTACCGATGACTCAGAAATGCTTCTTCTGCTGGGGCTGCCGGGGGACGGACAGTCCCAGCTGAGTGTAGCAGATGTAGATATCAGCACACGGCTGCCTCCCCATGCCCAGGAACAGGCCTGCCAACTGCTCCAAGAGCACCGAGGGGTGTTCTTGTCCCTGCCCAGGCACACCACCACAACTGCCTACCGGGTAAACATGCAGGGTCAGGCCCCCCTGAAGCAGGCAGCCTACCGAGTGCCCATGTCTGTCAGAGAAGGGATGAGGAGGGAGATTAAGGTAATGTTGGATTTAGGTGTGATAGAACCCTCTGACAGTCCCTGGGCCTCCCCGGTGGTCCTGGTACCCAAGAAGGACAGAACTGTCCAGTTCTGTGTGGACTACCAGAGGCTCAATGACTGGACCATGACCGAGGCATACCCCATGCCCCGCATAGACGAGCTGCTGGACCGGATGGCCAGAGGTAATTTCCTTACTACCATCGATCTCTGTAAGGGGTACTGGCAGATTCCGCTGGATGCGGACGCGGTACCAAAGTTGGTATTCATCATCCCGTTTGGCTTGCACCAGTTTGGGATGAAGAACAAACCCTGGCTACCTTTCAGAGAATGGTATATAAAATGCTGGATGGGCTGCAGGACTTCTCCTGTGCCTATCTAAACGATATAGCTATCTACAGTGATAGTTGGGAGGATCACTTCCGACACCTCAGGGAAATGCTTGATCTCATCGGGCAAGCAGGGCTGACCATCTGACCTGAAAAATGCCATGATGGTGTCAAGGAAGGCCTGCCCATAGTGCAGGTGAAGTTATACGGCGCACAAATATGCGCATGCGCAGAGTCCTTACAAGCCAAACAGATGTGCAGGTACTTGGACATCGGCGCGCCTGTCACTAATGCTGGCGCCAAAAGGGCTATTTAAACTGGCTGCAGTATTTGTCCCATTGCCGTATGGTCTTTTCCCTGCTCGTGTTCCGATTCCTGTGATTGTCTTCTGATACCGAACCAGCCTGTTCCTGATCTCCACTTGATTGCTTCCTGCCCTGACCTCTGGCTTGTCTTTGATTATTCTTCTGTCTCCGCTCCTGTCTGATTGATCTTCTGTTGCTGACCTGGTCTGTGACCTGACTACTCTTCCTCCTGCCGCTGTAAGCCTGACCGATACCGAACCCAGCTCATCTGACCCTGCATCCTCAGCACACTGTGCTCGAGTATCCATCCATCCCGCACGGCTACATCAGAACACTGATCCTTGCCTACAACTCATCAGCTCACCTGCTATTACCGGAATGATTACAGGCACTCATACCCCACCGTGCCCCTGCGACCGCTGTCTCACCATCAGCAGTCCTTTAGCCGGAGTTGTACGGGAAACCTTCCTCTTCATGGCAGGCTCACTATCCAGGTACGTGACAATTGGGGTGTCCAAGGTCCAATATCTAGGACAGGTATAGGTAGGATGTGGGAAGCAGTGACCTGCACTGGCAAAGGTAGCAGTAGTAGCAAATTGGCCCACACCCCGAACCAAGACCCAGGTCCTTGCCTTCCTAGGCACTGAGGGGTACTACCGTAAATTCATCCCCAAATACAGTGCCATTGCTAAACCCTTAACGGATC